CGTCTCTCCTCCAAGAGACTTCTTCAGTCTGAGAGTTTCAGGCAAAATTCAGGCTTTTAAGCCCTGCCTCCATGTATGTAAGTAATCAAGTTTGTATGAACGACATGTACCAATGCTTTTTTAAAACAAGAACCCCACTTCAATGTCCCTATGTGCATGCCTGATAGCAAAATTACTTTTGAATTTTAAAGACACATAATAAGAAATAATTGAGGTATAAAAGCAACAAATTAACTTTTGCTGTCAAATTAAATATGGCCACCACAGCTAACATTAGCTTGCACAAAAATGGATATGACCCAGTCAGCTTTACAGATACTTTGAACTGGTAGTAGTTGAGAGTCGGCCACAGGAACTTCTAGTTTGATTTTGACCTGATGTTGCACAATAATCCGTATGACTGAATCACGGGGCTCATAAAAAAATGAGTAACTAATTACTAAAAATATTACAAGTAAAGCTCATAAAAATGTTAGTAACCCCTGTCTGACATTACTGTAGGTGGACAGTGATATCAAAATAAAATATTTTTGCTACAAATCCTCCCAACGCATAATACATCGTGTTAAATACTAAACCCCTTCAAACACTTTAAATTTGAAGGCACTGTACGAAGAACCAGCTCACTTTCCACAGGTTACATACTTCGACGCAACACCGGCTAACCAAACAAACAGGCGACTATGCTCTTCCACGTTGTGATAGAAATTCCGAGAAACTACCAAACTCTTCTTAGCCTTTTTTTTCCTGACTAGAACGATCATTCAGAAGTTTCTAAAACAGACTGTATAAAAATAGCTACATTAACTCAATTTGAAGTGCTTATTTGAAACGAGATAAACAAAGCTAATAGCACCGCCGGCGTTAGCAAACTATTTAGCAGCTCACGAAGCATCGTGAGCTGCTAAATAGTCGTCGACTATCCAAAGTTAGAAGAACAAAAATAGTTAAAAGGTGATTCAGTCGTAGTTGATGTGTATATTTCACTATGTACTTTTAAACGATAAAAAAAGCTGTAGTTAGCCACCCGTGCTAACTCAACTCAAAGTTTCGTAAACCCTCCCTCCCCTCCCCTCCCCCCCTCAATTCAAAGTGACCAGGCGGCTTTTTGGTACAGCTAGCGCGGCGGCTAACACCGCGGCAAAATGGGGAAAGAGTCTCTCTAAACGATGTAATTTTCGTTAACGTATGTCGAAATGTTGCTACAGACTTACCGGATTTGATATGCATGTCTTTTTGCTGAAAATATGATGGAGAGTAAACCGTTCTGTAACTTTTGTTTACAACGTAGAGATAACGACTCTATGGTTGAAATCTTGTGTGGAGCAACCACTCGGAAGCGGCACGGGAATGTGGGTGGGACAGGAAGTTCCGGCAAATAAGTTATCCGGCGGGAAACGAGGGACTTACGTCGGCGATGCCGCCATATTGGAAAGGTCGACTTCTCAGATTTTTCGATTACTCAGCAATGATGATCTGTTACACAGCAGAAACTAGTCTTTCAGTACCATAGAGCCGAGCAGATCATCACATTTAAAAGATTTAGTGGTAATTTAACATAAAAAGTTTTCAACCATGTCTTGCAAATAACACATTCATTGATTGTATCAATGCAAAAATACTCACAGAAATAGATTTTTTTAAACTTGTTTTGATATTTTCACAAATAAAGACATGACCCTCAGCCCCCGCAGCCTGCCTGAGCATCTTTTGCAGTGTTGTCAATACAATAATTACTGTATTCTTGTTTTAAGGTGCATGTCAGTTCACAAGGGCAATCTATTTACAGGTTTATTGACTTCAACACATCTGACTGATATGAATGAGTGATTAACAGGCTTCTGCAGAACTTGAACTGCTAAAGAGCAGGGTAACATCTAAAACATGCAGAATAATGGCCCTTACGGACCAGGATTTACAGTCTATGATAAATACCGAGGTCATACTCTGCTGGGAAAACCTCCTGAAAATAGCCCCAAAATACCTCAAATCCACATTTGGTATTTCAGTTTCCACACCCCACCCCCCCTAAATAATAAATAAATAAATAAATAAATAAATAAATAAATAAATAAATAAAAACCATGGACATGGGTTACACAGACATGCCATCTGATGATACAACTAGCCAGTCTCTGCTTGTCATGTGTGCAACCCTACTCCTTCTTGTTTTTTTTAAGTGGTAGTTTTATATTTCATCATTTCTATCTGCTGTAAATATAATAGTGTTTTAAAATTGTAATAGAAACCGCTGTTTGAGTGTGAAAATTATTAAATTTCTTTGAATTTACTCAACTCAGTTGAGTGGACCCAGTACAACTCGGTTAAGTAAATTCAACACTTGTCTTTTAGAGTGTAGAAAAAAACRATTAATGAAGTGCAGATTAATCTATTCACCATAGAAACTGCAGAAAATCTGAATACCAAGTATGTTAGAACGCTCTGTTGCAATGGAGGCGCACATTATTTCTTTTCAGTCAAATTTTAACAGAAATTAAATGGGACATATTCCTATAAAAAATCTACAATAATGTGTTTTTTGTCTCTCTTGAGACAGCCCTTCAGTGTCTCCGTCCTGTCCTCTCAAACAGATGAACATATCAAACACCTAGTGACACCCATGTCCTTTGCCACATGTGTACGCATGTGTCTCTTCAGCAGTGTGGACGTGGAGAAGTCTTTCTTGCAGAGCAGACAGCCATGTGGTTTCTCCCCGGTGTGCGATCGAACGTGCACGTTCAGGTCTGACGAACACCTGAAGCTCCTCTTGCAATAGGAGCATGAGTATGGCCTCTCTCCTGTGTGGATGCATCGGTGGAGGAGCAGCTCGCCAGAGGTGAGGAAGGCTTTGCCGCAGCAGGAGCACCGGTGGGGGCGCTCCCCAGTGTGAGTCAGATTATGACGTGTGAGCGAAGCCGACTTGGTGAACCTCTTCCTGCAGTGGGTGCACGCACACGGGCGCTCGTCTGTGTGACTGTTCAGATGTTCAAGCTGAGAGCGTTTGGTTTTAAAGCTCTTGGAGCACTGAGGGCAGCTGAAGGGTCAGAGGGCGGTGTGGGAGAGCTGGTGTCGCATCAGCTCTCCGTTAGTGAGGAAGGTTTTCTCACAGGTGGTGCAGGCGTACGGCCTCTCACCTGTGTGGGTTCTCTCGTGACGTGTCAGACTGGCCAGCTGGGTGAAGCCTCGCTTGCAGAGCGAACACTGAAAAGGCCGTTGTGAGTCAGTCGGTGTCTGGTGAGGATCTGGAACTGACTGAAGGTCTTGCCGCACTCGGAGCAGACGTATGGCCGCTCCCGGCTGTGGATCCGCAGGTGTCTGTTCAGGAGCCATACGTGTGTGAAGCTCCTCCCACACTCGCAGGAAAACGGCCGCACACCTGCGTGTTTCACCTGGGGCCTCCTGAGGTTGGCAGTGCGGCTGTAGACCTTCTCGCACTGGGCGCACCTGTACTGCCGTCTCACTACGTGGCTCTACCGGTGCCTCAGGCGATCCAGGACGCTGGCGAAGCTCTCGCCACATTTCTGACTTTTGTACCAACCGTCCTCCCTTGACGTGTCCTCCCCCACCACCACCTCCGTTGTTAAGTCTAACGGGGGGTTGGCGTTCTGTCCGCAAGTGGTTCGGTTAAAGTGCAGCTTCAACAAGCCCATCTGGGGCTGTGCCGCACTGGGAGTAGAGGAAGGGCCGCTCTCCGCTGTGAACGCGCCGATGTCTGCTCAGATCCCACGAGTTCTTGAAGGCCTTCGTGCACATCTCGCAGGCGTACGGGCGCTGGTGGCAGGTCACGTCGGAGTGAAGGTTTTGCCACAGTCTGGGCACGCGTGAGGGTCCGGCCTGTCGTGGATGGGGAGAAAGGCCGGGGGAACTCCGGTCGCCAGGGTTTGTTCTTGGGGGCGTCGGCCTGCGCGCTCCTCTGGAGTCTGCTGTGCTGCTCAGGGTGGCTGCGCTCCAAGTGCTGCAGCAGGTACGACTCCTGCAGGTGGAAAAATGGACACTCAGAGTAGGCGAAGACCTGGGTGGACATCTCTACTGTAGTACCTGTGCAGAATACACACCATCACATAATCTTACATCCACAGGAACGTCCAAAGCTTCTTTGGAATTGTGGTCGTACCTTGTGTGCTAAGAGACTTGAAGCTTCTGTGGTGCTGCAGGAGAGCCCTCAGGTCAGCAGGGTTAGTGAGTGACTGCATGCAGTCCTTCAGTATGGATGGAGCAGAGGTCAGCCATGAAACGGTCTGTTTAAAGGGGCAACATCATGTAAAAGCAACTTTTTTGAGTTTTATATCATGCTATCATGTTATACTCTCATAAAAAACATGCCCAAAGCCTTGCTTTGACTCATTCATGCATGTTTGAGAAATCCTGCAGCGTTTTTAGGCAGCCATGCTGAGGAGCAAAATGACAGGTGGGGACCAGAAACGCCTTTTGGGACCAGAAACGCCTCTGGGATGTGTCCTTTTGGGACAGGCTCCTCCTCTGAGCTGTGTCTCCAAGCCGAGCTTCCTCATTATGGAGCACACCTCCCCACCCCCCTCCCCACACACCCTGCCCATGACTCCTGCAGGCTCTCAGCAGTAACAAAGCAACTGAAAGTGAAAGTGAAATGGTCTGCTGAGCTCCTGACATTAGTTCTCACTCAGTGAAGCTCTTTTCAGATTAAAAATACCGTTGAGGAAATGTATTTTCAAATGCCAAGTAAACTGCATCATAGCGCCCCCCCGCGCATGACC